GGAAGGCGCCCCAACCCCCTGATCAGCCCTGCTCTGTGGGTGATAGAGGGCGGCGCTCCAACCCCCTGATCCGCCCTGCCCTGAGTGTGACAGGGGATGGTGCCCCAACTCCCCTATTGGCCCTACTCTGTGAGTGACAGTGGGGAGCTCCTCAACGCCCTGATGGGCCCTGCTCTGTGCGTGACAGGGGGGAGCTCCCCAACCTCTTGATGGGCCCTGCTCTGTGCATGACAAGGGGCAGCGCCCCATCCCCCTGATTGGCCCTGCTCTGTGCGTGACAGGAGGTGGCACTGCAACCTCCCCATTGACCCTGCCTTGAGTGTGACGGGGGCGGTGCCCCAACCCCCCAATCTGCCCTACCCTGATCGTGACTGAGGGTGGCATCACAACCTCCCAATCTCCGTGCTCTGTGCATGACGGGGCAGCGCCCCAACTCCCCAATTCGCCTTGCTCTGAGCCCGACCAAGGGCTGCACCTAGGGATTGGGCGCTGCCCTCTGCCATCCGGGAGCAGGCCTAAGGAAGCAGGTCGTTATCTTCCGAGGAGTCCCAGACTGCGAGAGGGCACAGGCCAGGCTGAGGGATCCCCTCCCCCCTGCCCCCGAGTGCACAAATTTCTGTGCACCGGGCCTCTAGTGTAATATATAAAATAACTGCATAAGGGAGTCATCTCAAAAGCTTCTTTAATATCAAATGCTTACCTGACACATTTGTTTCTCAATTTTGTCAAGTAAGAGCCTTGGAACATCAATAGCAACGTTAGTTCCATCTAAAGTATACTGGTCAGCAAGACTGAGGACTGAACTAACAATTTCTCTCTCTTCTTCCAAAAACAAGAGAGTTTCATTCACTGAAGCCCACAAAGACCGAACCTTTGAAAACAGACAAACATAACATAAAGTCTACATGTAACCTGTACATACATGAAAGAAATGTAAAACACAACTATACATTCACTCCCAAGAACAAATGAAGTATTCCTGGAATGGCTTCTGGTGAGGAAATTAGCTAACTATATTTTACTTTTTTTTTTTAAACTGTATTTTTAATAGTCTAAAATCATTGTTAGTATTTCCAATGGGGATTTTTTTTTTTTACATAGGAAAATACTTATTGAACTTTAATTAAAGTTATGTGCACACAGCTTTTAGAAAAGATAGCATTTTGTAATGAATATATATTTAGATATCTTGGAGTTGTATTTTTTTATGCTGACCCTTAAATTGTCATCCTTTTTCAAGAACTAGGGGTTTAAGGCTCTTGTAAATTGTAAACCAGAAAATGTTTACTAACCATTATCGCCAAGCATCTCAAAGAAGAGGAAGAGGGAATTCAACATGGACATATTTCAGGCAAAATGCCCAAAAAATTCAACAAAGTAAAATTAGTAAAATAATTTAAAAATCTGACCCCCTAATTAAATTAGTTTCTTCTATTTATTCTTTTTAACATTCTCAAAGGGTTGTCAATAAACACTCTAAATATCTCTGAAGCTGTTTTAATGGTTTACTTGTAATTATTATAATCCTAAAATCCCAACATGTATGCAATACAGCATGTAGCTGGTATCTTTTCTTGAGGTAAATTCAAGTATTTTGGCAAACTAATAAAGTTTAATAATAACAATAATCTCCAGCAGGGCTTTAAAACTAAAAAATTTCTCAGTAGAATCTAGCCCACTATGATTTTCAAAACAAATCTAAGAAGCCTTATACTACCAAGATGTGAGTAGTATTTCCTGTATTCTGACATGCTAGCAATCTAAGGAAGATTTTCCAGGAAGAAATATTTTCATGAGAAAACAAAAACAAGAATACTACACAGTAATCATAAGCCATTCAATTTTCAAAAAGTTAAAAGGTTTGAAAAAACCATGCTTTTTAAAAAATTTTCAGAGGGGAAGGAGAGGGAAAGACAGGTAGAAACATCAATGATGAGAGAATCATTGATCGGCTGCCTCCTGCATGCCCCACACTGGGGATCAAACCCGCAAACCGAGCATGTGCCCTTGACCAAAATCGAACCTGGGACCCTTCAGTCCGCAGGCAGACGCTCTATCCACTGAGTCAAATCGGCTAGGGCAACCATGCTTCTTTAAAGGCATCAAAAACTGCAGTTAAGTCCTAGCTGGTTTGGCACACTGGATAGAGCCTCAACCTACGGACTGAAGGGTTCTGGGTTTGATTCCAGTTTAGGGCACATGCCCAGGTTGCTGGCTTGATCCCCAGTAGGGGGCATGCAGGAGGCAGCCAATCAATAACTCTCTCTCTGCCGAAACTGGTTTGGCTCAGTGGATAGAGCATCGGCCTGCGGACTGAGGGGTCCCGGGTTCGATCCCGGTCAAAGGCATGTACCTGGGGTGCGGGCACATCCCCAGTGGGAGATGTGCAGGAGGCAGCTGATCGGTGTTTCTCTCTCGTCGATGTTTCTACCTATCTATCTCTCTCCCTTCCTCTCTGTAAAAAATCAATAAAATATATTTTAAAAAAAAAATAACTCTCTCTCATCATTGATGTTTCTATTTCTCTCCCTCTCCCTTCCTCTCTGAAATCAATAAAAACTATATATGTATATTTTTTAAAAAGATGCTGCGTTCAATAATAAGAATAGTCACATGCACTAAACTGGAAGCTCCATGAGAAAAGGGACTTTGCCTGTTTTTGTCATTCCTATAGCAGCTGTAATATCTAGAAGAACGCCTGGCAAATGGCAGATGAGTGAATGAACAATTATTTCCTGAGGGTGGCACTCACCTTTTCCAGGGACAAAGTGCCTGAGCAGCCAAATTTATACCCAAAGGAGCATGATGGCCACAGAATCAGAACAACGATCTTGAAGACAGATGTCATCTGAACACAGAAGCCTAAGAAAATACTCCTACCCCACATCAAAGTCAACCTCTAAAGCAAGCACGTCAAACTCAAAGGCTAACATGGGCCAAATAAACAAGGTTTAAGTTTATGTAAGCCGCAAAAAAACAAAAGCTCCAATTTTCATAAAAACGTAGGTTTATTTCAATAGAGACATGCTGAATACAAAGGGCTGAAATAAATGAGTAATCGTTAACATAAAATAGAACATTTTAATAAAAATTAATATTTTTTCTTGAGCATGAACTTACCAGACACTGAACAACTGCACAAATTAATAAGCGTAACGCAAATAAACCTATTTTTCTTGTTCTCCGAAAGCAAAATATTTCCTATTGCGTACACCAAACAAGTCAGTACAAGAGTAATGACGAGCCCTGACCGCTTTGGCTCAGTGGATAGAGTGTCCTCTGTAAAAAATTCAATAAAATATATTTTCAAAGAAAAAAATATATCTATACATATATATATGTATATATATATGTATATATATACACACATATATATTTTTAAAGAGTAATGACGAGGCAGTCGGCTGCTACAATAGTTGCTGCTAGTATTAGTGGAGAGAAATGGTGCACCAGAATATAAGGCGCATAAGGTAAAGAAATGCAACATGATTATAGTAATCAGTCATCAGCAAACATTGTAATTCGTTAATAATTATGTATAATAGGATATTGTAAAAATTAAGTTACAAAATTTTTATTAAAATGTTTCTTACATACCGTTATATTGGCTGGACCGCAAAAATATTCATTGTGGGCCGAAGTTGTGGGCTGCATGCAACCCGCGGGCCATGAGCTTGACATGCTTGCTCTAAAGCCTTAGACCATTTATGTCTGCCAGATTACTCTCTATTACCAACCAGCTTCAATTTTGCTTCTCATTTTTCTTCCATACTTAACATCTCCTTTCAGTTAATATATCTTATTTTGATAAATACTACTGATTAAGTTACAATCAAACCGAACTTTTCTTGCTGGCATGACTTTAACCATATTCAAAGCTGCATATATTTAGTCTTATAAATTATAAGCTGTTTTTTTCCCATCATATTCAAACCTTTTAGAGGCACCCTTGTTGATACCTTTACATATATAACACTTATAAGAATAAATACTATCACAAAAAATACTATCACAAAAGTAAGAAAGATTACATTTCTCTCTTCAAAAGCTGTCTCACCTTTTGAATTTTTTCTTGTATATCACTTTGGTCATCATAAGGTTCCATGCTAGTTAAAAAGTAATCTCATTAGTCATATTTTTAAACTTAATTTTTATTGTTGACACTATTACAGATGTCCTCATTTCCCCCGTAATTTTTCCCCTGCTTCCCCTTCCCTCTGGTCATCATCACATTGTTGTCTGTGTCTATGGGTTATGCATATATGTTCTTTGGCTTCTTTCATCCTATCCTCCCCTCCCCGCTTCCCTGACAGCTGTCAGTCTGTTCCAGTATCCATGCTTCTGTTTCTATTTTATTCAGTAAATTCCACATATAAGTCAGATCATACGGTATTTGTCTCTCTGACTGGCTTATTTCACTCAGCATGACAATCTCCAGGCCCATTAGTCATTTTAAAAATCACATGGTGGCCCTAGCTGGTTTGGCTAAGTGGATAGAGCATCAGCCTGCAGATTAACAGGTCCTGGGTTCGATACCAGTCAAGGGCACGTACTTCAGTTGCAGGCTGTCCCCAGCCCTTGTCAGGGTACACGCCGGAGGCAACCAATTGATATATCTCTCTCATATTGATTTTTCTCTCTCTGTCTCTCTCTCCCCTTCCCTTCCACTCTCTCTAAAAATTAATGGAAAAACATCCTCAGATGAAGATTAAAAAAAAAAATCACGTTAATTTACCATCCAAAGAGCTAACTGATCAGCAAAACCACCCACTAACAACCATTCCATTTAAAGCAAAAATAAAATTCTAGCTCAAAGCAATAATTTATTAGAAGAACTGGACTAGGAATCAGAATTATATTCTATAACTATCATCTAACTATCGCTATTATTTATGTTTCTGAGACTCTCAGTTTCTCACCTGTAAAATGCAATAGCTAAACTAATATATAAAGCAACTTCCAGCTCTACAAATCACTTACTTTTTCATTTGGTTTTGCAGTCCTATATATTCTGATCTCAAATTTCGTACTTCTTCATCTAATAATCTGTAAGAAAACGTATAAAATGACAACTCTACATATGCTTCTCAACTTATGATGGGGTTACATCCCGATAAGCCCATCACAAGTTGAAAATATCATAAGTCGAAAATCTATTTCATACACCTAACCTACTGAACATTATAGCTTAGCATAGTCTACCTTAAATGTGCTCAGAACACTTACTTTAGCCTACACTTGGCCAATTCTCTTGTGTTTTATCTTAAGAGTAATTGCCTTGCCCTTCTGCTTACCAGAAACAAGAGGCACAAATAGCATTTTGTTGACATGAGGGGGTGTGAAAACTTAAAACACAATATCCAAAAAACACTGGCAACAGAGTTAAGTGCAGAGTATCAGTTATTTACCCTGTGATCGTGTGCCTGTGTAAGAACTGTGGCTCGCTGCCACTGCCCTCACAACAGAGTATCATACCACATACCATCAGACCAGGAACAATCAAAATTCAAAATTCGAAGTACAGTTTCTAGTGAATGCATATCACTTTCACACCATCATAAAGTCAATATATCTTAAGTCTAACCACTGTAAGTCAGGGTCCATCTATAATTCCATTACAATTAAACAGTATAGATACTTCAATATTTTCCACCTTCCATATCTTTGCTCAAGGCTTCTGAGGACTATTCCTCCAAATACACCCAGCAGCCAGCTAAAGGATTCTACACTCCCTTCTAAAGTCCCAGGATTTAACATACAGGCTGCTATTAAGATGGACCACGGACTTTTTGATTCATGTACTCTCTGACTTCATGTAAAAATGTTGGAGGTCAATAAAATTACTCTGCCCTCTTGCCGAAACTGGTTTGGCTCAGTGGATAGAGCATCAGCCAGCAGACTGAAGGGTCCCAGGTTCGATTCCGGTCAAGGGCATGTACCTGGGTTGCGGGCACTTCCCCAGTGGGAGATGTGCAGGAGGCAGCTGATCAATGTTTCTCTCTCATCGATGTTTCTAACTCTCTGTCTCTCTCCCTTCCTCTCTGTAAAAAATCAATAAAATATATTTTTAAAAAAATTACTCTGCCCTCTTATCCTTGTCTCACATTCCTAGGGGATAAATTTTAATGTTATCTAAGACAGTCAAGCAATATTGCAGCTTTAAGACAGTATCAAAAGATTTTGTATACTGATTTGGCTCAGTGGAGAGCGTCTGCCTGTGGACTCAAGGGTCCCAGATTTGATTCCGGTCAAGGGCACATGCCCAGGTTGCAGGCTCGATCCCCAGTAGGAGGTGTGCAGGAGGCAGCCAATCAATGATTCTCTCTCATGATTGATGTTTCTCTCTCTCTCCCCCTTTCCCTTACTCTCTGAAAGTCAATAAAAATGTATTTTAAAAAAATAATTTTGTAGCTTTAATGATAGATAACACAGCATTTAAAAAGGTATCTTATCAGAAGAAGAAAAAAGTATCTTACTGAAGTTGTTAATAATTGTAAAAATTACACACAAACTATTTTGAGACTAAGAACCTTGCCTATCTTGTTTAACACTGTAACCTAAAAACATATCTGCTGAAGAGATGACCCTAAACATAAAATAGTATAAAATGGTTAAAGAAACTATGGAATACCTACTTAAAGGAATATCTACTTAATACATCAGCAAACTACTGAATATCTACTCAGCAAACTATTAAATGGTCACTAAAAGTAATAACTATAGAAATATGGAAAAATTTACAGAATGAAATATTAAGATAAAAAAGGATACAAAATAGAATGAACAGTATACATCTTAAAAACATATCTCCAAGTTAAAAGAAAAAACTCCTAAGAAATTAAAATTTTAAACTAAAGTGACCTTTTCCTTTTCTCTAAATTTTCATTTACAGTTTACCTAAAGTTTAAAACATTTTATTCAGAAGTTATCTGGCTTTAAAATGGAAAGATAACAGCACAGAGTTTTGAAGTAAACATGGATTACTACCACTGAAGGCATACTAATGACATTTATACACAAAGAAAAGAATTTTCCATTTCTAACTATCAAAGTATTACTTACTGTGCATTTTCTTGATACTTCTGGAAAACAAAATCTTGTCTTTGTAAAATCTGTAAAAATCTGTTACGTGCTACATGAGACCTGGCAATGCACATGTGCAAATCTTGTGGCTTTAAATTAAATGTCTCTGCAACATGCTTGAATGAATCTATATGGAACACAAGATCATAGAAAACTTAGACTTATAAGCTAATAAATATTAAAACTGCTGGCTTTTATTAATTATTATTTACTTTTTAAAGAGATTAACAGCTTCATATAACAACTCCTTAAAAGCTGGCATACCACATACACAAATATTACCTATTCAAAATAATTAAAACCCAGAAATATATATGTATACTAAAAATAAAAATAAAAAACTAAAAGAAAATAAACCAAAATGTCAGCAATGGTAATCTCTAGAAATTGGAAGATGGGTACGGTTTACTGAATCAACTTTTCTGTATTTTCCTGTCCATGTTTTATTAGCATAAACCAAATAAACAGAGTATATTTAATAAGCTACAAGTAGCATTCTAAGTCTCAGATTAAAAATCCAGTATGTATTTTGTTTCTATGAATTTGCAAATAGATCAAATCACTTTAAAACTGCAACTTGTAACAAAAAATTCCCACACATTACCAGTAGCCAAAATAAATCTCCCACACATTCAACACAACATTTAATACAGTGTATTAGAGGCAAGCTATAATTTGCAGGTCTTATTTGGTCCACTGGCTGTTTTTCTGAGGTCAGCAACACGCAAGGAATACTTTCCACATTTTTAAAGGGTTGTATTAAAATTTTTTAAAAAGTAGGCCCGGTGGATCAGTGACTAAGCGCTGACCTATGAACCCTAAGGTCACGGCTCAATTCCCGGTCGGGGCACATGTCCAGGTTGCAGGCTAGATCCCCAGTGTGGGGCGTGCAGAAGGCAGCCAATCAATGATTCTCTCTCATCACTGATGTTTCTGTCTCCCTCTCCCTTCCTCTCTGAAATCAATAAAACTATTTTTTAAATTAAATTAAAATTAAAAAATAAAACAGAGAGGTATATATGACAGAGACCTGTATGGTCCACAAAGTCAAAAATATTTATTATCTGGCCTTATATAGAAAATGTTTCCCAACCTCTGTATTAGAACATACTAAAATAATTTGAATTATTACTTATATCCATTATTTCAAACTGTAATTCTAATAGAACATTAACTATTAGCCTTCTGAGCTTACTTAATATTTTTATCTTATCATTGATGATTTGCAAACTGCAAAGAATAAATACTTAAGAAACAAAAAGAATTCCTACTATAAGTTTAACTTACTTTTGGAATGTGTTTTTATATATTTTATTGCAACAAATCTTGCAAAATGATACATCAGGTGAATAAACTTAGGACCACCAGGAGAAAGAAATAGTGAAGCAACAACTTGAGGAAAGTTATTTCCACATTCCACCTAGGAAAAAATGAATAATTTGAAGTACTTATCAACAATAACCTTTATATTCACATCAAACTTTTGAAGCATAATGGGATTGATGAGGATTATTCCATTTGAATCCAAAATTTAATATTGGAATCATTCTAAAATTTTGGTGGACTTGTCACAAAAAGGTAATTACAATATAACCCTCTAATTATTGACACTATTTGGGGACACAAGTTAAAATAATCTATAATCAAAAAGGTTTTCTTTAAATTAAAACTGACTCCAGGGAATCAAAAACCTATTTCCAATGCACCTAGCCAGCAAAACTGGTTTTTTAGAAATATACAGAAATCCCATTCAAAAACCATAAAAAGTATTATTGTAATTAATCTTGCTTATACTGTTAGCATAAAAGCATTAAAAGTATTTCACCTCTAGGCCCTGCTGATGTAGCTCAGTGGTTGAGCATCGACCCATGAACCAGGAGGTCATGTTTGGATTCCCAGTCAGGGCACATGCCTAGGTTGCCAGCTCCATCCCAATTGGAGGCAGCCAATTGATTTTTTTTTTTCATCATTGAAATTTCTATCTCTAGCTCCCTCTCCCTTCCTCTCTCTGAAATCAATTTTAAAAAAAAGAAAACACAATATATTTTTTTCACCTCTAAAAAAGATTATACCTCAAGAAAGCCAGAAAAAAAACTAATGTATTTTTTAACCTCTTAAAGTTTTCATTTTCCAGAAAGAGAATACTTACAGAAATTTTTTTTAACCATTCACAGCAAAGTTTCCGGAATTCAGTATCACTTTTTTGGTCAAATGGAGGCCAACAAACTCTTAAAAACAAAAATAAAATCATTAGAATTACGAACGAAAAGTCAACTCAACAAAAATTTTTCTCCCATACAAAAAACAATAATGCTAAATGAAGCAAGGCTAGCATTCATAGACTTCAACTAATGAGAGACACCAACCTGTGAGAAAGTGGGTCTTTTTCTTTATAAATATCTATGGGGTTGAGTTCATTTTCGTGTGAATAACCAATAAATATATATATATATAAAATAAAAATATTAATCACTCTTATTATTACTAAAAATCAGCTAAAGATGAGAATACTCTCAATGGATACTGGACTAACACATAGAGAAGTTATAAGTAAGTTAGTATGTTAAGCCTAGAAACAAAAGAGAAATATCAATGGTTACATGTGAAGACCACATGAGAAGAAAAGCCATGACAGCTTCTGACTCCAAAAGATAATCTATATTACAGTCAGTGGGTACTACTGTTTTGTGGATAAAAAAGATATAAAATTATTTAAAAAAGAAAAGCTTTGCCAGTGTTTTAGTTAAAAACTAACAGACTTAAATTTACCTACTGCTTTCCCCTAACAATCAATTTTATCTAAATTTTTATTCTGAGGTATTTTAGGACCCCATGTTTGTTTGTTTTTTTTAATTTCTATAGCATATCGTATGTTCTATATTAATAGAAAAAATTAGTATGCATAGAAAAAAGATTGAAAGGCTGGAATGTCAACAAGTATTCTCTGGTTGGTGGGTTTGGGAATAATTTCTACATCCTTCATTACATTTTTCTGTATTTTCTGAATTGTTTAAAATGAGCTTTATTTTGTTTATAATTGGAGGGAGGAATCAGAAAGTCTGTTTTGAACAGAGGAAGCCCTCTATAGTAATGATAAAAATTTCCAAAAAAATGTTTCAAATATATCTGTTCTCCTGATCATTCATAACCTTAACTGAAGGCAAAATATTAAGACTAAACTATCAAAAATGAAACAATGCCCTAAACAATGTACTTACTTATTGCTTTTTTATGTTGAGGATGATGACAGAATATAAACACTGAAACAAATGTGAACACTTTTTCTGACAAAAGAAACCTAAAGCACATGCAAAATAACTTGGAACCAAGGCTAGTGGGTATTACATTTTTATCTCCTTCCTAAACTATTTAATATTCAACACTATATAACAACTAGAGGTCCAGTGCATGGATTTGTGCACCAGTGGTTTCCCTGAGGGGTCCTGGATTGCAAGAGGGCACAGGCTAGGCCAAGGGGCCTCTAGTATGCATATAAGATCTTGGATTAATCTCTTCCCGCCCTCCCCCCAGACCCTTCCTTCTGAGATTCATCAGTATGTTCCATGTTTCCATGCCTGTGCATTGAGCATCTGCCCCCGGTGGTCAGTGCGCATCATAGCTACCAGTTGAATGGTCAAACACTTAGCATATTAGCCTTTTATATAGAGAGATAGGCTAAACTTAATGGAAATTATTTTTGCTTATAGCACTTGACACTTATATATCAGTAACAAAAAAAATAAGGATTTACAGAAACCTGGAAAGTAAAAATAGACAAAACAAAGAACAGTGCCTATAATAAAAGGAATAAGACAGGGGGTAATTAACAAAAAGAAAAAAGTAAGCAAAACTGAGTATATAAATTGGTACCAGTTGTTTTGCCTAATAATTAAGACTATGAAGCCCTAGCCAGTTTGATTCAGTGGATAGAGCATCAGCCTGCAAACTGAAAGGTCCCAGGTTCAATTCCAGTCAAGGGCACATGCCTGGGTTGTGGGCTCCATCTCCAGTGGGGGACTTGTGGGAGGCAGCTGATCCATGATTCTCTCTCTCCCTTTTTCTTCCTCTCTGAAGTCAATAAAAATATATAAAAGCCCTAACCAGTTTGGCTAAGTGGATAGAGCGTCGGCCTGCGGACTCAAGGATCCCGGGTTCAATTCTGGCCAAGGGCATGTGCCTTGATTGCGCACACATGCCCAGTGGGGAGTGTGCAGGAGACAGCTGATCAATGTTTCTCTCTCATTGATGTTTCTAACTCTCTATCCCACTCCCTTCCTCTCTGTAAAAAATCAATAAAATACATTAAATATGTATCTATATATATATACACACATACATACATAGATACACACACACACACACACACATATATATATATATACTATAAAGAATGTTAGGAACCAATTTTATAAAACAAAATCTAACTTACCTATGAAGCATATGATTTTTAAGATTAGTACCAAACAAAGATTACTCAGGTTTATAAAGGTTAAGCACCAAATTTGTAAGGCTCAAACCTGATTTATCAATTCAAAATAATACTGAAAGGCCAAAGATGAAATCCTAGCTTTTATCAAGACATAGTCCCTTTTCAAATTTGAGAATGACTAGTTACAAAAAAAAAAAAAGAAGAATTATTTAAAAAAAAAAAAAAAGTTTTACTCACTTGAAAACTTCTTTGGTGAGAGACTGGTCCAGCGTTTGAAACAAGAAATAAGACACTATTTGAAAGGCATCACGGTTTGGCTTGTCGAACATGTTCCTAATTGTTTAAAAAAAAAAATAAAAGCAGGGGACAAAAAGAAAAATGGTTAATAAAACTAAGTATCATCGAAAGCTTTATAAGAGTTTGACACAAATTAATATTTTTAATTCTCTTCAAGAGATCAAGGCAAATTAACTTTTCTCACTCATGTACACTTTTACAACAAGTTAAGAAAAACATACAAGTTTTATTTCTGATTCTGAAAGAACAGATCAAATAAAACTTACAGTGAGAACATTCTAAGAAAAAAAAGGAAAGGCTAATTAGGTGGAGAATACCATGCATGGACTATGATACAAGGAAGCTAATGATACCAACCAACATTTACTGAATAACAATAAAAAGCAGCTAATATTTATTGAATTCATTATTTCCAAGTATTACATTAAGCCTTTTATAGGTAGTAACTCATCTAATTTTTAACACAATCATATGAGGTTAATTAAGTACTGTGCCAATTGCTTTAACATGGATTATTTTATTTAATCTTAATGATAGTAGAAAGTAGTTGGATTATCCCCATTAAACAGATGAAGAAATGTAAACTTTAGAGAAAATAGATAATTTGCCCAAAATTACATAACCAAGAATGGAAAAGCAGTGGTTTGCAGTATGTTATCTGACCCCAGAGTCTAGGGTCTTTACTATTACATTTTATTCCTAGAACCATCTTATAATGTAATTCTAGCAATCCCCTTAAGAGTTTTTATTGTCCTGATTTCCCTCACTAATCAAGACAAAAACTTAAAAAAATACAGTATGTAAAAACAAAACAAAACCTAAGCCTTATAAGAAATGTCACACAGGTATTGGCAACCTCTAGGTCAGCTACTGCTCTATGGTCCATGTCCCCTCCTCACACCCCTCTGGAGACCCCAGGGCTGTGGAGGTGTCTGGTGGGAGTGGGAAATTCAGGCTTTGGGGACTGCCCAGGCTAGGAGGAAGAGTTTTCTGAACTTCTTCTAAGGCAGAGAAGACCCACCTCGGAAACCATGCTCTGCTGCATAGCCCGCCTGGAGGATTTTAAGCTTGACTTTGACAATTCCCAAGGCAAAACAACTCAAAATTGGCATGGAGGGGGAGCCACCATTTTTCAAACTCTTGCCAGTGAAGTGTGGGTAGTAGTATGGAAAATTAACAAAAGCAATTTAAGATCTCTGGATAAGCAAGGGATAAAAAAGGAACATATATCCTAATAGAAGTTAATGCTTATACCGAAGAAGGAAAGAACCTGTGGAAGTTACAGATAAAAAATTATGAGTGCTCCCCCATTAACCTATTATGAAAAGGTCACTTGCCCCCCTCCCCCCCCCGCAAAAAAAAAGTAATTTACATGGATACAACTCAAGTATCAAGAGAAGTTAAAAGCAATAAAATCAAATAACTATAAAGGGAAGGTCTCACAAGAAACTGAAGCCATTATAATAAAGGAAACTCATTAGAACATAATAAAATATATGTAAGGGAATTCTATGTGCTATTATAAAATAGTTTTAACATTTGGAATAGAAATCCGAGATATTTTCACGTTTAATACATTTTCAACAATGACCTGAAGGAATATCTCACTTGGGTAATTCCTTGTTTTCAGACACTAAAAACAAATTGGATTAGGAGTTAGCGAATTAAAAAATGGGCTGAGAGTTACTAGAATGCATGACAAATAGATGTGAGTATTCCTTCTATGAATACATAAAGCTATTATCTTGAGATTTTAAAAAAGAGTTAATGTTAAAGTTCCCATGCTATAACCATGTACAGTGACAGATGGTTACTAGATGTATTGTGTTGATCTCTTTGTAAGGTATGTTAATATTGAATCACTATGTTGTACACCTAAAACTAATATAATACTACATGTCAACCGTAATAAGTAAATTAATCTTTTAAATTGAGAAAAAACATTTTTTTAAGTTTCCATGCTTACCCATGTCAAACAACTCTTTGTCCTTGAAATGTTTGTACTCAACACAAATGTTACCTCATTATCTCACACTTATTTTTTTCTACAAAGTATCCTGCTTCTTCTCTTTGACACTTTAATTTTTAATAATATCTGAAGATATTTGTTCATCCACTAGACTAAAACTTTATAAGGTAAGTTTGTCTATTCTGTTCACTACTGTATTCTGTTCACCCAGTTCCAATACTGTGTTCAATTAGTATTTGTTGAATTAACAAATGAATAAATCATCTTTTCTTTCCATTCCCACTGCTACCTTGGTTTAGGCCTACCTAACTCCAATGCCTTGAGTCCCCCTTTAATCCATTCTCTGTAATGCAACCAGAATGATTTTTCCAAAATGCAAATCTTTTGGGCAAATACATAGCAATGAAATGGCTGTATTATATATTAAGCATATGTTTAACTTTATAAGTGGCTATACAACTACATACTCACAGAAACTAGAAACCGACAAAACTGCACACCAAAAAAATGTATTTTACCATATATGAACATAAATGAACTAGTGACCCGGTGCACAGATTTGTGCACATTGAAATGGAAATTAGAAGGTGGCTGGCAGGGCGGGACTGGGCAAGACAGATCAGACATGCCCTGGATCCCACCTCCTGCGGTTCCTCCCCGGCTGGCCACACCTGGGGTGGCACTCTGGCTCAAAGGTGTCTGCGGAGTGAGCAGGGTCCCCCGGCAGGTGGGGTCTCTGGGCCTGGCCTGCAGGAATCGGGCCAAACCGGCTCTCAGACATCCCCCAAGGGGTCCCGGAGTGTGAGAGAGCCCTCTACAGAGTTGCTGTTGTACAGGGTGTGGAACGCAAACGCAAGTGTGCAGTAAACCAGATTCGGGCCCACAGCGCCAGCAACAACATAACCCACAGCCAAAGGTGGAATCCCACGACCCCACGAGGAATCAGGCTCCCTCCTCTCTGGTTTTGGGGTGCACCACCCGAGAACCACCACTGCCAAGTTACTGCAGCTCAGCAGCTCCTGCATTGAGCATCTGCCCCCTGGTGGTCAGAGCACATCATAGCTATCGGTCAGGCAGATATTTAGCATATTAGCCTTTTATATATAAAGATAAAAATGTTTCAAAATAATTTGATGCCACATTCATGCTTAAAACATTTCAAAGGGGACATCTGTTTCCAAATAACCCACTGAAATTACTCTAAAGACTCAGAGCAGGGGGGCAGGGGAATCAATGACAGTGGTGGAAAAATAAAGAAAAACTGCAGTCACTGGACCAGACTTGACAGATTTTACTAAATTTCAAAGGCAAAAGCAGATTACGATGGAACAAACCAGAGCAGAGACAACTAAGATTGCTAAAACACTGGAGAGAAGGATGTAGTGGCAACGAGAACCATTCTCAGTGGAGGCCTGGAGAAGCTCTAAGCTTCTTTGACAGTACAGAGAAAATGAGACTGTGCTGTGGGGCATCAAATCATGCAAAATAAATGAAGTACTTACTAATACATAATCATAGCCTGATAAATGCTATCCACTGCTATCAATTTTTAGAATAGACTCCTAAACAAAACACTTCTACATGGAAATAGCAGTAACTTCTAAACAAATAGTTACCAAACAAAACTTAATCACATCTCTAAGCCTTGACAGCAAAACAATTAACAACACAGCTGGAAAAAACGTCAAGAGGGAGAAGGCAGAGGGGGGCAGGGAAGTGTAGGTGAGCTAATTATCTTATGGATAATAGCTTCTTTCCTTCTGAAATTACACAGTGAGAAATGAAGAGACATTTTTGAGAGTGATACATCAAGAAATAGAGGTCTAAACACATGCTAAAACACTGCCACTAGAAGAACTGAAGTAACATAATTAAATCAAGAAGATTTGAGAACAGGGGGTAGCCAATGTAGCCCAAATTTCTCTTGGCCGATAGTGGGAAAATCAGATATTGTCAAATTGGTAAATTAAGCCCTAGCCAGTTTGGCTCAGTGGATAGATCATCCGCCTGTGGACTAAAGGGTCCCTGTTAGATTCTGGTCTAACACATGCCCAGGTAACGATCCCCAGGGGCGAGCGGGAAGCAGCCAATCCATAATTCTCTCACCATTGATGTTTCTCTCTCTCTCTTTTCCTCTCCCTTCCTCTCTTAAATTAATAAAAACATATTTAAAAAATAAAAAAGCTGGTAAGTTAAGACACAAAAGTATAAACAAAATATTTAGATTTGTAATCATAACCATAACATTAGTGGCAAAGTAGGGAAGAGGCTTTTACTTTTCATCTTAATACCTTCTCTGTTTTTTGCTGTGTGGCATGCCTGTTTGCTAATTCAAACGTAAAAATTATAAACTCAACAGCAACCCGCTCGAAAGGCTCCTTTGAGCGCCCCAGGCGTGCGCTATACTGTTCTCCGGTCGCTGCACTACCGCCTGGTACCCCCCCGCCCCCACTCCGAGCGCACAGACGGCGCAGCTTCACCACCCAAGCAGCAGGAAGGTGCCCCTCCAGCTGTGCCCCAGACGCAGGGTCTACTCCCCTACGAAGCTCCCGGCACGGCTGCCTGACAGATGGTCTCAGCCACTAGGCGGGCAGCCACCGGGGGCAGAGGCTGTGTAGCCGGTGCCAGAAAGGCAGGACCACTACCAGCCTAGACTCTTCAGGCAGCGGGTCCGCGCCAG